GACAGAAAATATTCAGGAGTTTGACAATTTGGAGAAGAAAGGCAAGCTTTTGTGCTATGAATGTGGTATAAAGTGGTAGCAGTAGTTATAGCTCTGCTTCTTAGGTATTAGTGAATTGACAATGATATCGGTATTCTTTCAGCTTGAATTGTTAATTAAGACTCCCATTTTTACAGAAGTTGTCAGAAGGATCCATACAAAATAATTATAAAATGTTGGTAGAAAACAATGAATAGAGGAGAAGGGAGTGACAGAAGAATTCTCATGTTTTATTTAAGATTTTTTCAACAACATGTGACATCTTTGAAACTCTCTTTACTATGAACAGAAATTTTATTTCATAAATTGTTAGACTTTACATCAATTTATATTCACCATGCTAAATCTTGAGGAAGAGTAACAGAATAACTCTGGTGATTTTCCTTTTATACAGATTTTCTTTTTTGGAAAGAAGAGTGTAAGGATTTTGTAATAGTTTCTGTCTTTATTTCCTTGCTCGTATTTTTCCTTTATTTTATAGGATATCAGGATGGTCTTACGGATTGGTGTTACCAATAATTAGACCTTTGCCAGCATAATGAATTTAAGCATTCCATTCTATCTCTTCCCATCTCTTTTCCTTCTAAGACTCTGTATTCTAAATTTTCAAATCAGAAATTCTTCAACACCCTGGAAATGTGAAGTCATGTCATCTTTACTTCTTCAGTTATTTTCAATTTTCCCATTACCCAGCTTAGACTCTATGTTATGTAGTAAAAAGTGTATAGCATGTAATATCTACCATTACATTCTCACCCATCCCCTTCAATATATTTTGTTTTTTCCTTTGAAAACTCGAATACTGGTTAAATACAAATATCCTCCCACTCTGCCACATTTGAACAGCTAAACATTGCTGGTTAAAAATATACACTCTCTTGACCTTTGTGTACTTTCACCTGATGACCTTTCCTCCTACTTCATTCTACCCTTTTTCTTTCTACTACCAAAATTTCCATTCTACAATATCTGTACTCACTCTCTCAGCCTTCCTTCTAGATACTATTTACTAAATACTTCCTTGCTCTCATCAAAAGACACCCTACTCATTTTGCTCTGAATTCCAGCCCATCTTTCGCAAGGACTTTTTTTTTCTGTAATTTTCTCCTTGCACTCCTGCTGCAGTTAATCTTTCCTCATTCTGTAGTTGACTATTCCCCTTAGTGTCCTGATATATTCTACTTCTTCTATCATAACAAAACATAACCCTCGATTGTCTACTTATACCTCTCAATCTATTGTTCCATTTCTTTGTTTTCTTTCACAATCAAACTTACTGAAAGCATTATCTGAAGCCACTGATTTCCAATTCTTCACCTCTCTTTTTCTCCTCTCTGACTTAATTAGGCTTCTTCCCTCATTATTCTGTGAACCACTGCTCTTGTCTAGATAACCAGTGGCCCCATTGTCTCATCCCAATGGTCACATCTCTGTTTTTTATTACTTGACTTCCCTGCAACCTTCACCAAGTCCTTCTTATTTAAGCACTTTCTTTGCATATCCTCATGGACACATACAGTCTGGTTTTCTGCTATCACAGTGTCTGCTCCCTCTCAGCCTCCCGTTTTGACTCTTCCTCCTGGATCAAACTTTATATGCTGCAACACTCCAGAGCTGTATTCTAGGTTCCCTTTTCTTGCGGCACTCAGTATACTTTTATAAGTTACCTCATTCAATCCTTTGCCTTCAAATACAGTGACTCCCAAATATCTTTAGATGGCCTATCTTTGAATCTCCCGAATAGAAAATTGTGTTATCCATTTGACATCTCCATATGGATATCTAAATTCATTTCAAATTAAAAATGGTAAAAATAGAAATTCTTATTAATCAATAAATACTTATTTTCCCCTTGCACCTGTTCACTCTCCCCAATCATCTTCTTCTTAAACACATAAATAAAAATCTAGCCATGTTAGTGTTTACTATGTCCTAGAGCTGTGATAACTGCATTGTACATATTAAATCATTTAATTTCCAAACCTTTATGGTCTTCCTACTTTTACTAATGTAGAAACTGAGGCATACAGAGGTTAAGTAATTTGCCCAAGAACCCACAAATTATCTGCCGCAGAGCTTGTTTTCAAACCTACATATTCCACTTCAAGAGATTGTGCTGTGCTTTTTATCACCGTGCTCTACTGCTTGTAAGTGTGTGTGTTCAATATCCATCAACCTTCTCAAATCAAAAATATCCAATAAACAATTAATAAATGTGTGCTATAAATTCTAACTTCAAAATGTATCCTTAATCTACTCCTGGGTTATCACGTTCCTTAACATTAGTAAACCAGGACACTATTGTCTCCCACATGGTGTATTGCATTAGTGTTTGTACTGTTTTCCATGGTTTCAATACTGTAGCCCAAAATTCATTCGTCACTTGCAGTCACAGTGATCTTTCTTTAAAAAAAAGAAAAAGAAATCAGCTCTTTTTCTCCTCCCGTTAAATGCCTCTGGTGATTTCAAAAAAAAATAAAATCCAACCTTGTTTCTCTGGCTAACAATGTTTTTGTCTGTCTGTTGCCTTTCTTTTTGACTTCTTCTAACATCATGTCTTTCTTGGCCACAATTCTTTAGCCGCTCTGGATTTCTTTTGCTTTCCAAATACGCAAAGCTTTTCCCCAAATTAGGATCTTGGAGCTAGATAGTATTGCTGCCCATGATGTTCTTTCCACTGATTTTGCATGCTAGTTTCCATGAGCCATAAGATGTGAACTAGCCACTTTCTATTATCACTGGATTTCAAATCCCTGCATAGCATTGTATACCTTGAGATTTTCTTATTTATTTATTTATCTATTTATTTACCTATCACCTCTCATAACTAAAATTTAAGTTCTATGAGAGCAGGGACTGGTGTGTTTTACTCACTCCTATATTACCAGCATGCAGAATAGTGTGTAGAATATAAAAGTCCTCAATAAATAGCTTTTGAATAATGGAATTTACGAATAAGTGAAAAAATAATTCAAAAGAAATATAGCACCTGAAATCATCATTCTAACCTTAGACAAGACCTCAAAAGTAGTTCTTTCACTACTGTTTTACAAAGTAGGAAGAAATTTTCACATTTTATTAGCAATCCTCTCTGTATTTCACAATATTATTGTACCACCGAGTTGAAGGGCATATAACGGTAGTAAGATTATCATATGACACTGAATTATATTTTCTTGAAATATCTAGTCTTCACGTGTACATATAATTAATTTATATAATACAGTGATTAAATAATAATGCAAGATGTTCTGGGGAATCTATACACAATGGAAATTGTTTTCTTTGTCACCCTATGTTAGCTACTAAAGCAAGGAATACCCAGATTTACCTCTTTGTTAGCTGACAGCTATTCTGGATTTCCCAAATTTATACAAACTAGATACAGTGTATCCAGACTGGTCGGCTTTCTCCCCAACTCTTTTATAAATTCTACTTTTGCCTCTGTTTCTTGAATCCACCTACCAGTTTACCGCCTCTCCTGTGAGAATCAATTTGCATGCACACTAAGTAACTAACAGTTTTTACTTATTCTTGACTTATTCTTCTAAGGTATTTTTTAAATGCCCATGGTTTACAGCAAATCACATTTCTTTAGAAGAAAATGTTAAAAAAAATGCAAAAATAAGTCAATCAGTCCCATTAAGATGTTACCATTTCCAGACCTCTTTGCTAATTTTGCTTTCCACAGCACTTTCTGCTCCATCCCGGGTTTGGCGTCGAATGACCTGGGCTCTGACTCTTCTATGCCTTCTACTGCTGATTGGATTGGGAATCTTGGGAATCATATGTATGTATAACCCCAGCACCTAGAATTGCTGAGTTTTACAACCAAATTTGAGACCTTGGAATTATCATAGGTGATATGCCCAGAAAGGGCACTTGTAATGCTGTACTTAAACATAGTACTTAGTTTTTTTCTGTCACTCCTGTGTAACGACTGCTTTCCTACCCCTTTAATCATCTCAATACTATTTCTGCAAAACGAAAAGGAAGTGGTGGTTCTGTTGAGGGATAAAAATATTTGATTAGTTCTTTTTTTTTTGATCTGGAGTTTACATAACCTCGAAGATAGAAATGGGAAAATTGAGTGAACTGCAAAATCTCAAAGGAGAACTTGAGAGCAATATTTCTCTACAGCAGAGGAGCAACATGAATTTTTCCATCACACTGCAAAACATAGCCACCCAGTTATGTCGTGAGCTATGCAAAACCCCAAAAGGTAGTCTTGTATTCCTCTCTGAGATATTAGACAATTAACTAAATCTTAGAGTCACTTAAGAATCATTTCATCAATAGCTAGGGACCTTTCCTGATGGAACTATTATTTGAATGAGGAGATTAAATATTGCTGACAGCGGATTCACTGATATTAACATGCAGTTAGAAGAAAAACAGAAAAAGAAATGTTAACTATATGTGCCCAAATTATCAGAGAGTAACAGTTACTCACTAAAACATTAGACATTAATGGTGCAACCAATTCCATTATTTTCATAGGATGCAGTTTCTCTAATCTGACATTTACTACTGTTATTCTGAGGCACTGAGGTCAATAGAAGATAAGCCTGAGAGGACATCACTGTGTAGGTAGTCTAATTCCTAAATTATACTCAATGATTGAAGAGAAAGATAGTCAATAGGAAAAAAGTAAATAAATAAAGTGAAGGATTATATTTGTAACTGAGGAAGATGGTCTTATGAGCTATCTGAGATCCTGAGAAGCCTCTGAAGTATTCAGCAAGTCGGAGAGCTAGAGGTGCTCTCGCTGGAGAAGGCAGGGTTGATTCTCCCACACAGAATGCTTCTTGTGATTAGATTTTTTTTGCCACAAAAGTGTTAAATGAAAATGAGAGACAGGAAAACTAATTAATCAATATTCAGGGCCCCTAAAGCAGGAAAACACCCTGGCCTGGAATCCAGGTGATTAATGTGAGATGTGTTGTTCAGGCTATGTGTTGGACATGCCGTGGTGATAGGTAACCAGTTGCTGTTGAGTCAGTTTTACTCGTGGAGACACCATGTGTGTCAGAGTAAAACTGTCCGCTGTATGATTTTCAATGGCGAGTTTTTGGGAAGCAGATCACCAGGCCTTTTTTCCAAGGTGCTTCTGGGTGGACTTGAACCTCCAATCTTTTTGTTAGCAGCCAAGCACATTCACCATTTTCAACACCCAGGGACTCCTTGATATAAGATAAAGATCTAGAGTATAGAGTTCATTTTCTTCTCTTTTGATTTAAAAGGAAGAAATACAAGCGAATTTAATCAATTTAACTCAGAAGTAAAGGGAATAATGACAGAGAACAACAATACAGATGAAATAAAATTATGTTCTTCTTCCAGAGCGCAAATGTAAACCTTGTCCAGAGACATGGCTGTGGCATGAGGACACGTGTTATGGCTTTTTTTTATGAGATGGACACATGGCAAAACAGTGAAATGAGGTGTTCTAGTTTGAATGCCAGCCTATTGAAGATTAAGTCTGAAAGTGTTTTGGTAAGGCCCCATGGATCTCTGCCTATGAGGGAGGAAATCCCTTTTTCATGAAAGAAGAGAAAGCAGAGGGACATTTGGAGGGAAAGATATATTAACCCTGATGTGATTCTGCCTTATATTAGTTGAGATGGCAAGTGACTTACCTTTGGGTATCATAGCCAAGATAGGTCATATTAAGCTTTAGCTAGGACGTTAGGATCATTGGGGTCCTTAGAAACTGATGAGTATATGGGTAGATAGAGCATACCCAGAATGCTCAGGTCTTAATATTTCCAAACTGGAACCCTGAAATCAAATCTCAGAACACAGCTTCTGAACATTTATATAAAAACAGAATCTGGAGATTATTTCTGAGGGTTACTAATTCCATAAAATCTACACGGGGAAATTCTTTGTTTTCACCATTTTGGATTTCTTTGTTTTTTTTTGTTTTAATTAAGAGAGAAAGCTAAGATATCCAGGATAGCAGATGGTTTTGATGAAATATGTATTGTTAGTCACCACTTACTGGTTCTGCCTTGTGGCCACCTTATGAATAACAGAATGAAATGATGCCTAATCCTGAGCCATCTCTGTGATCCATGGAATTTTGAGTCCATTGTCATGGCTACTATATCAGTTCATCTCATTAAGGGTTTTGTTCATTTTTGCTGACCCTATACTGTACCAAACATAATCAATCTTAGAAAAAATACTATCAGAATGCTCCTTAGAAGCCAGAATGACAAGGCTTTGGCTCTTTTACATTGAACACATTATCAGGAAAGACCAATACGTAGAAAACATCATCAAAATATATAAAAATAAATAGAACTGAGATGGGATGGCAAAGTCAAATACCAAGCATATATATGGGACTGAGTGCTTGGGTCCCAGGAAAAATGAGTTCTCTAGTAGGTTTTTTTTTTTTTTTTCTTTATTGAATACTTTTTTGTTGTATCTAAATCAGCTCTCCAGGCTTTGGTATTACTCTGTTTATGATGTCTCAGAAAATAATCATATATTTACTCTTTAAGCAAAAGTACATTTTCCTAAAAGTCTCTGTCTGCTTCCCTACTATAAGAATCTTTGTCAATCTTTATAGAAGAGCAGGCAAGCAATCTCTTTCTCGCCTGATCATTCTCAGATGACACATTCATAGTTGCTTATTTGAAAAATAAGACCTGGAATAAGAAAAAAAAAGTTACTTCAACTACATTGGATTGATTCCAAATTCTGTTCTTATAACCACTTTCATCTGACTTTGCTGCATTTTTCCCCTATTCTTTTTCTATTTCTGTTAAGTTTACAGTCGTTAACTACCTCCTTTGGCCTGGACTGAACGTTTACTATCCAAATATTTTGAATCCTGTAACTTGTGAACGTTCATTGACCTAACTGAAAGTTATGCATGGAAAGGTAGATCTTTTCTTCATGTGAGACAGTACTGCAAGTGATATTGTACAAATGCTGGAGGAAATCTTATAGTAAGGAGCGCTGTGATGCAAGATCTAAAATTAACGTTCAAAATTATGTGCTGCCTTGGTATTTCAGGCGGTGAAGGAGTGAAGGGCTCAGATGGCCTAACTGCAAGTTCCCCACCCCTACAGATAAGGTCCACTAGCCAAAGGACCCTCCTTGTCACATGGACTAAATTCAGCTCCTGCTTATCCCTGAGTAGTAGGCTAGATATCCATTTTCTGCCAGGTCAGTGAATTATTCAAACAAGCCAATCACGTCTTCCCCCAGGAAGCAAGGGGCACCCACTCCTCTTGATAGTACAGAGCCTGCCTCCAAAGCCCCTGTTTGTTCACACTGTTCCCGAGCACAACCCCTGTGTAGCTCTGCACGGCATGCGGTGTCCTCCTTCCCTTAGCTGAGTACATGTGACTAACAAAGTGCTGCCGATCTCATCTGTGCAGTGTTGTGTGCTATGAGTTCAGCCATTGCCATCAGCCTAGAGCAGGAATCCCTCTTTCATAACTGGGGTGATGAGGAGGCCATCAAAACAAGCACTTTCTTTCCATTTCCTATGATGGCACTGAGAAGTATTAATACGATGTTACCTAAAATGTTACATTAAAATGTTACCTTAAAATAGTGGCTTGTAAAAAAATTATGTGAGGTGGTAACGTGTAGAAATGGAAAAAAAATTTTAATCAGACCATCTGTATTTCTGGTAGGAATTTATAAAGTTCCAGAGGTTGGATTCCTTTTGGCTGGGATTATCTCCCAGGCAAAATTACAAAAACCTTGAGTCCTTGGATAAGAAAATGATCAATTCTGACTGGTAAGTCTCACATTCTTGCTGCATTTTTTATAGCTGGATTTGAGTAGAGGTATTTCCCTTTGGCGCATTTAGATTCCAATTAAAATCAGCTTCACTAAAAATTCCATGCTTAAAAAAAGCTTTTCTATCAGGCTTCTCTGATGTTTAGGAATGCAAAAAGTTGCAACAAATGTCTTGTCTTTATTTTGACAAATACTCACTAACTTATACTAGCCACATATGATAGAATTTCAGTGACTAACACTTTTGTCTAAGAAAATTATAGAGGTCAACAAAATTCACTGTAGTTTAACATATACTAAAGATGGTACTAAGAGCTAGAGATGTAAATGTAAGTGAAGGGGACTTCTCTTAAGTTGCTTGGTTATTAATTGTATGTGCAGACTGATTATACAAATCTAGATATAAACAGAATATAATGTGATAAATGCTTTGGTAAAAATATGTACAATAACCAAAACTAGATTTCAGTTTTGAAATTTGTTTTATAACTGAAATTGGAAATGGACATTTTTTAATGAAAAATGTAGAGACAGCCTAGAAATGCATTTCAAGTCAAGAGAATAAACTGAACTTAACATGGTATATTGCATGTCCAGCTTGTAATGGGAAAAAAATCTTCACTGCTTTACATAAAAAGGGCACTAAAGTTCCGTTACATTTTATAATCCCTGATACTTGGGAAGAAGATAGGGTAAGACTGCAGAAAGAAACCAGAGCCTCAAAGTGCTGAATACTGTCGGAAGCCCAAGAGTGAACACAGATCTGTTAGTTAGCACACATCAAGCAGGAGAGAACTCAGGGGCACCTGTGTGTGGTGCTGCCACACTGAATCTAAGCACTGATTCCTGCATCCTCACCGCAGAGGGCCAGGAACAAATACAAGCTTTGTTGTTTTGCTTTGTTTGTTTCCTTCAGATAGAAATAATGGGTTTAGGATTTGGGGTCAGAAAAAAGGTGGCACTATCTTTGGTGGTTGGCAATGAGAGGACAGAATGGGGATAAAAGATATAAAAATGGAGGGAGGAAGGATATATATACTGTAAAGGTAATATTTGGAGTGAAGAACGAGAGGTAAAGGTAGTATATGTGTCGGGAGCGTATAGATGGAATCTTGTTTTGAGATAGTTGAATATATGTGTGCTTATTTGCAACTATTGCAAATAAGGAGGTAATCTGTAATAGGATGGAGAACACAGCAGATATTTCAAATCACCGAGAAGTAATGATGAAATTTAAAAAAAAAAAAAAAAACTGTTGCCATGGGGTCAGTTCCAACTCATGGAGATCCTGGTGGCACAAAAGGTTAATGAGCTTGGCTGCTAAGTGAACAGCTTGGAGATTTGAATCACCCAGAGATGTCTCAGAAGGAAGGCCTGTTGATCTACTTCCAAAAAATTAATTATTAAAGTACCTATAGTGTAAAGTTCTACTCTGTCACACGAGTTACTGTGAGTTGGCATTAACTAGAGGATAACTTTTTTATGCAGATATAATGAAATAAAATGGTGGATAAAACACAAAAAATAAAACTAAAATGAAGAGAATACAGTGTGAAATAAGTAGTAAACGTGGAGCAAGATGAAAGAATAAAATTAGTAAGTCAATATAACTTAAGGAAGAGAGCTGAATCCTTTAGAGAAATATTAAAACAGTCAAACATTCTTAATAAATAAATTCAGTTATAAGTTGTTTCTAAAACATGGGGGTTAAAGAAAGGTATAAAAAATAAAAGAATAGCAAATATCTATCAGGAAATGCAAATAAATAGGAAGCCATGTTATTGTAATAATGATACTGTAATATTAATATCATTAACAGGAATTTAAAGTTAAAAGGCAAATAAAGACAGAGAGATATGTGATGACAAAAGGCTTGGTTTATGAGAGAGATAATAGTCTTAGCATATATATACGTAACCATGTAGATTCTACCTAAGTAAACAAAACAATTTGTTAATTCAAAAACTGAATAAATGCAACTATAAAAATAAATTTAACATTCCTCTTAGAGTGGGACAGGTTTTAAAGATTAAAAAATGGAGCTAAGTAAGACTATGAAAATAATTGTTTACTTAAATATAAAAGGAAATTTGCAACATGTAAGCTAATAGACAGATAAATCGGTATAAAGATATGTGTCTAGTCTCCAAAATATTTTCCTCAAAGATTAGTTTAAAAATTTTTCAGAGAAGAAACTTTGATAATTCTAAATCTTAAGACTATTTCTACTGATAATATCAAATGAAAACTATAAAAAAGGGGAAATGCGAAATTGAATTTAAAATATTATTGTCCAAAATAAATTCTAGACTAAAAAATAAAAAGTAAAATCTAACTTTGTTAGAAAAATATTTCATAACAAAACTATGAGAAATAGCAGAAACTACACTCAGAGGAAAAGTAACACTCTTTAAGGAGTCCATTATTAAAAATGAAAGACTAAAATAAAGGAACACATAAAAATAAGTATTAATTAGCTCCAGACTAAGGAACGTGGTGATCCACTTCCAAAAATCAGCCAATGAAAACTCTTTGGATCACCAGGATAGTCTGATCCGGTTGTGCATGGGGTCTCCATGACCTGGGGGCCAACTAGATGGCAGCTAAGAACAAAAACAACAATAAACGCTCAAGAGAATAGAAAAATTTTAAGGAAAACCATATGCATGTAAAATTGATCAGTAAAATGACAGAGATATCCAATAAACACCATCAGAACAACTAGTTATGATTTTGAAAAAAGGTTAGTCTACACCCACCACACAATGACAAAATTACAGATGCATTGTTGTTAGTTGTTGTGGAGCTGCTTCCGACACAAGGTGACTTTGTGCGTAACAGAACAAAATATTACCAAGTCCTGCACCATCTTCATGATCATGGTATATTTGAGTCTACTGTTGCAGCTATTGTGTCAATCCACCTCACTGAGGGTTTCCCTTGTTTTCATTGGCCCTTATTTACCAAACATGATGTGCTTTTCTAGCAATTGCTCTTTCCTGATGACTTACTCAAAGTAAGAGAGTTGAAGTCTTGCCATCCTCACTTCTAAGGAGCATTCTGCTTCTCCTTCTAAGACTGATTTATTTGTTCTCCTGCTGCTGGGTCTCTGCGGCTGGGTCTCTGCTGTCTGGTTTCTGCTGCCTTCAGTGTTACAGCTCACTCTTTCTCTTGGTCTCGTTGTTCCAGGAGCTTCTCAGCGCAGGGATCTCAGGTCCAAAGGACACGCTGGCTCCTCTTTCTTGGTGGTGGTGGGATCTTCTCTTATGCCTCAGGGATGGCTCGTATCAAGTCCAAGGGTATGGCAAAACTGACCAATTCCCTTGGTAGACTACAATTACCATTTCACAGTCCGGCCCAATCACTTGAGTGGGAGTTACAAGACCATGGCTAGAAAGGCCACACAAAAGTGATCCATCACACCACAAGGTATAACAATTTTCTGAATATACCTTTTTGTATAGTTTTGACTTTTATAACTATCTTATACTTCAGATTAAAAAAATACACAATGATTTCAAATAACAAGACAAAATCCCTCATATCCAGTATTTTAGGTATATGTACTCAAACCAAAGACAAAAACATTATAAATGAATATTGAACTGTGCTTATAAGTTAACTTTTCACAGCTATATGGATTAGAATGTAACTTTGAGGGCTAAAGTGTGCCTGACCCAAGCCATGGTTTTATCAATCACCTCATATGCTTACAAAAGCTTGACAGTGAATAAAGAAGACAGAAGAAGTATTGATGTCTTTGAATTATGATGTTGGAGAAGAATATTGAATATACCATGGACTACCAGAAGAATGACCAAATCTGTCTTAGAAGAGATACAGCCAGAATGCTCCTTAGAAGCAAGGATGGCAAGACTTCATCTCATGTACTTTGAACATGTTACCAGAAGGGGCCAGTCCCTGGAGAAGGACATCATGCCTGGTAAAGTAGAGGGTCAAAAGAGGAAGATACTCAATGAGATGGATTAACATAGTGACTGCAGCAGTGGGCTCAAGCAAAGCCAAGGATTATGAGGATGGCGCAGGACTGGGCAGTGTTTCCTTCTGTTGTACATGGGTCCTATGGGTCCAAACCAACTTGACAGCACCTAACAGCAGCAACATGGATTAGAAAATCTGAAAATATTTAATGTGAAGTCTTGTTGTTTTAGGTGCTGTTGAGTTGATTCTGACTCATAGCGGCCCTGTGCACAACAGAACGTAACACTGCCCAGTCCTTCACCATCCTCACAATTATTGTTATGCTTGAGTCGACTGTTGCAGCCCCTGTGTCAATCCATCTCATTGAGGATCTTCCTCTTTTTCGCTGACCCTCTTCTATACCAAGCGTGATGTTCTTTTCCAGGGTCTGCTCCCTCCCTCCTGATAATGTATCCAATGTATGTGAGAAAAAGTTTCACCATCCTTGCTTCTAATGAGCATTCTGGCTATACTTACTCCATTCATTCTTCGTTCACTCTTTTTGGAGCCGATGACACATTCAGTACTCTTCGCCAACACCATATTTCAAAGGCATCAATTTTTCTCCTGTCTTCCTTATTCATTTTCCAGCTTTCACATGCATATGAGGCAACTGAAAATACCAAGATAGAGTCAGGTGCATCTTAGTCCTTAAAGTAACATCTTTGCATTTTAACACTTTAAAGAGATCTTTTGCAGCAGATCTCACCAATGCAATGCATCATGTGACTTCTAGGATTGAGCAAATACATAAATAAGTAAATTTATTTTTGAAAATAGGAGTCAATTTTTTTCTTTCCCAGAAGAGAATTATGAATAAGGAAAGGAGATAGGGTAGTGCAAACCCTCTGGTGTGAGATTTGCATGGTAGGCATGGTTTTAAAGATAGATAGGTAGATCGATGA